GACACTCAGAGCCTGCAAAGGGGCTGAGCATCTGTGAAGAGCTCAGAACAGAGGTGGAATGGGGAATGGAAAGGAGAATGAAGGACCCTAAATAATCTTTACTTTGGATATTTGTATTTATAAAAGGTGTTTGATTTTGGAGAAGAAAAGATATCTGAAAGATGAAATGTCTAAGAGTTTCAGGTGGTGTAGACATGACAGTAATGATTTAATGACACCTAGAGCTGGAGCTAGAGCTTGTAAATGGGTCGCACAAAAGCCTTATTGTGAGGCATATCCCAGATGAGGAAAGTGAGGTCAAGAGATGTAGGTGGTTAAACTATGCCCTTGATTCCAACTCACCTGCCTCTAGCCATTGGGCCTGCCACCGCATTGAATTCAGTCTAAATATTTGCAAACACATTAAAAAAAAACAACTTAACTATGGTGTCATCATGGAGCCACAGGCATGAGTTTGCCAGGTTCCTTTGCCTCCTCTTCACCTGGTCATTGACTGACCTTTGCTTTTCCTCCCACTGTCTCCAGGGAGGGGAAATGGGAAAGACACACAAGTCCTCAGCTCTTTAAATTTAGAACTTCTAATTGTACATTGTTAACAATATTGCTATAAATGGGCCAAGGCTACTGATGTAACCCCTATTCTTAATGTGCTCAAGTCCAGATCAATCTCTCTAATTCCAAAGGCAGCCCCGTCTACCTGGAGCATAGAAATAGAGCCTGAGTATGGGGCAGGGAAAGACAGGCTTGGAAGTCTTTCAGCCTTGGGTTCATTTTCTGCTTCTGCCATCTTTTATCCATGGAGCTTGGGCATGTTTGTTACCTTGACCCACTCTCTGAGACTCTGTTTCCACTTTTGTAAAAATAAAGCTAATCCATATTTCCTTGTATTGTTGTGAAGATTAAACCGGAGAGTCAATGTGCAGTCCACTAACTGGCAGTTGTTTTTATTTCTAGGTTCTGTCCTGGGAGAACTACATGTTACATTGACTATTTAGAGTACAGTGAGGAAATCTTGGGCTATAAATTATACAGAACTGGTAATATACAAGTAAACAATCCTGCTACCAATGCTATTTACCTCATTAGTATATCCATAGTTTACACAATACAGCTAGTTGAATGAACTGAAATTATTCAATGGTTGTAAGTTCCAACTAAACATGATACATATTTTTTTTTTTGTTTTTAAACTTTTTTTCTTCTTTATTGATTTTTAGAGAGAGAGGGAGATGGAGAGAGAGATAGAAACATCAATGAGAGAGAACATTGATTGGCCGCCTCCTGCATGCCACCCACTGGAGACTGGACCCACAACCTGGGCATGTGCCCTGACTGGGAATAGAACTGGTGACCTCTTGATGCATGGGTCGACACTCAACCACTAAGCCACACCGGCCAGGCAAAACATGATACATTTTTATCAGATAAATGAAAAGTTTAGTAAAGTTTTGCAAGAAAAGAGCTTATACTTAGGACGAATTAAATACTTGGTAGTGATTATTAACTGAAGTATTACAATAGTATCTGCCTCATGCCTTTATAGCATTTTAAGGCTTACATCTCTGCTGAAAGGTGGAACTCCTATAGGGGTCTAGGTCAAAAATTCCCTGAAAGCTTCCATTTCTATCTCCAGGCATTTCATCCAGCTCCTCTGCTTCAGGTCTCTCCTCCCTAGGCCCCTTCATGCTCAAGCACATGCTCTCCACAGCTGTTTCTGATGGCTGAGTCCCACCTGGGTGCTGGGTCCTGACTGGTTAATGTTACTCCTTTCAGCTCCCTTAGAGCCTCACAAATATTCAGAAGGCCTCCTTGGCTTTCTTCCTGGTTGCTTCATCTCCTTATGTTCCTGCCTTCAGCTTTTTGAGTTTCTTTTTAACCTTTTCCTCCTGGTAACATTTCCACCCATCTCTTCCTTCAGCCAGCCAAATCTTAAGTCATCCAACAAGTATTTGCATTTTGGGATGTCAATGTATACTGTAGTCACTCCTGCTGCATGAGAGCTGGCTATTTAAAAATCCACACTGTTTTCTTAGCCACAAATTATCAAAGATTTAAAGCATCTCCTTTTTTGCCAACCAAGTCCCAAGAAATGTCTTTCCTGGCTTTCAGTGGACTCCTGTTCCCATGACCCTGGTAGGCAGGGCTGAGGTACACATTGTGATGGAGTTTCTCAGCTTTTCAGATTTGTGAGCATAGTCATGAGGAGGGAATATACTCAATGCTATCAGAGTGCTCTGGGTTTGGTACAAGGGTTTGTGGGATTTTATTCAATATGGGAATGTGAAGAGGCTTCAGGAAAGAGGTGGTATTTGAGCTGAACCTCATATAAGGGGAGATTTGTGGAGATGGCAGTTGGGGTGGCAGTGGGGGTATTTGGACCGTGAGAGCAATGGGTATCCAGGATCAAGCCCAGAGTATAATAAATGGACAGGGAAAAGCACAGGCTGAGGCAGGGGAACAGAGAGGTCAGGGAAGGTAGGTGAGGGATATAGGAGGGGCTGGGTGTCAGGCTGTCATGTCTGTACCTGATTAAGCTGGGAATAAGGAACCATGAGAATTGTTTGGGTTTTGAATTGCCTAGGGAGATGAGAACTGAGAACTGGAGGTTGGTGATAGGAAGATTCTGCCTGATCTTCTGCTACAGTCAAAGGAGCAGACACTCTAAAGAGATGAAGAATAGACACCAGATTGAGAAAGGTTGAGAGTGAGGTGGTAGAAAAATTTAGTCTTTTAATTTGGTTGTCAGTGACCCAGGGAGAAACAGAACTTGACAATGACCAGAATGAAGGGAAGATTTTCCAGGAAAGGAGGATGTAAGCATAAGTGAGGAGGAGAAATGAAAAAAGCAAGAAGGAGAGGGGCTGATCAGCCGGATGACAAGACAGGGTGCTGTGGGCCTAAAGAGCCCAGGTGGAGGGGTCAGCATTGAATGGTTGAGAGAGGGGGGATTTTGTTCTGCAGAGAGTAGAAATGTCAAAGGGGAGAGGAGGAGAGTTTCCCTGGTTAAGTAGGAAAGACAAATGAGAGGGGCATTAATGGGGTTTGGCCATTGGGAGAGTGGAAATATTTGGGAGATCCATGCATGGAAAGAAAGAATGAGCAAGAGGTTGATAATGTGTGGTGAGGCTCTGTGAAGAGGTTACTGAGCATCAAGTTATGGGATGTCATGCCTTAATTTTGAATATGAGGTTAATTTTTTTTTCTTCATTTATTAGTTAAAATTAGATGTAGCCAGCAATTCAACTATCCATGGTCTTACATCAACCTCCTTCTGACCTGTCCCATCACACTACAGCATAATCCCTCCTTCATGGGCTTGCTTTCTTCTCCCTGGCCAGGTTCTACCTCCCCTGCTTCCCAAAGCAGATCTTCCATGTAGTCTGTGGTCCTATCAGTCCTGCAATACCAGTGGCTCCCAAAAATTGAGTAAATAACCCCTTTCTTCTGCTCTGTCACCCATATTCTATTTCTCTTAGAAAATAAAAAAAAGAATTAGTTAAATTGCTTTTCTCAATTCAATTTCAAGGGCTTCACAGGTTCTTGACAGTTTCAAGCAAATTACTCACAAGGTGTTTGTTTCAGAGAGGCAACACTCAACACCTTTTCCTTTCCTCACCAAACTCGCTACCCTGGACATGCCTTGGAGCCACTGTTTAGCCTGACTTTTCTTTTCTTTTTCTTTTTCTAGACACAAGGAGAATGCCCAGAAGACCCAGAATGCAAAGTTCCTATGATGCATATTTACTTCATCTTTAAGGGTGAAAGAATGTCACTTTCATAATTATATTTAAATTCTGACATTATAATGTAATTATAATTCTATAGTTAATATATGTTTATGGATGGATGGATAAACTAAAAATAGATGAATTGGTGAGTTAATCATTTAGAATAAGTGATACATTTTGAATCACTGAAGAATGAGTGAATAATTTTTGCCAGTTTCTTCACCCTGTACACTTCTAAAGTCCTGAATGTATTTTCTGAGTATATACTTGAACCCTGATTGTCAAAAGTTGAAATGTTCTTGACCTTACAAGAAATTTATAGTCTAAATGGGGAGGCAAGTTAAATCACACTAACCAAACCATAAACATGAAAATCAAGTGAAAGATTATGGGAATTAGACTTTGAGTGCTGCAGGCATTCAAGGAATGGTGACGTCTGTTCTCCAGTTCAACATACTTGCCACTTCACTCCTGATGCAGAAGGACAAGGAGAAGGTAGAGCAAATAAGAACCAGAGTAAGTGGGCTAGGCCATCCAAACAGAAAGAGAGTGGAGATCAGAACCGGGTTAGGAGGGAAGCCAGGACTTTGGGCCCTTCTGGGTTTCATCCAGTGACGTATGCATTCATCCATTGTTCACTGTCCTAACACATATTCACGCTTGATGCCTGTGATGGTTATTTTTATGTGTCAACTTGGCAAAGCTATAAAATCATATTCTGATATACATAGTTTTTTTTTTAGGAGTGCACACCAGAACTCCCCACTACAAATGCAGAAAAAGACTATAATTTAATGGCAATATATTTTTTTTTAGCACCTACAGAGATCCAACCTTTCAAAGATAAATAGAATTGAATTGAAAATGAAATAGAATGAACTCTTAATAAACGTTTTCAGCTGTAAGACAATATTCATCACCCTACTTTCCTGCCCCCATGTATGTGCAGACAGGAGCAAGTCACGTTTACATCCATGCACAGAGTTCATTTTCTCCTCGAGGAACACTAGTCTGTTCAATCACGAACATGGCCTTAAAATAGACCCATTCTTTTCAGGACTCCTTCCTCACTGCTAACTCCGTTGACTTGGGTATGAATTCCCTGATTTCCTCCCCATGCCCATCGCCCTCTTTGACTCGGGGCCAACTTCTCTTATGCACACCTTGTATTCTGGGCCAGCCCTATCCCAAGGCTTCTCCCGGCGGCAGTGGGAGCTCGCAGGCCGTTGCTGCCTCACCTGCTGGGGCCCCCGGCTGCGGCCCGGCGCCTACCTGGAAGGCCCAGGATGGTGAAGTAGGGCCGGCATTCGGTGAACCCCGAGCTCTGCTTCACGCAGCTCCGCCAGAGCCCTTCGTACTGGAACACCGAGGTGACCGGGTTGTCGTACAGGTCCTGCGTGCTCCACATGTCCATCCCCGTGGAGGTGATGCAGCCCAGCAGGCCCAGGATGGACAGGAGGAAGCCCACCACTTGGCACGTGGTGGTGGACATGGCCCTGGGCCTCTGGCGCTCTGGCCGCCGCCTTGGGACCAGCTGCCACCTTCCTCCTGCGGGAGGTGTGGGCTTCGCGTGCTCCAGAGGGGAGCCGCTCTAATCAGATGGCTTCCCTCAGCTCTTGGTGTTTGCTCACAGTGTTTTCCTTAGATAGTTCAGTTTCACTCTTGGGTCAAGGGCATTGTTTTTTCATGTGTTAGGGAAGCGGCCCCAAGAGGCACTCGTCCTGCGGATCTGCGCAGGCCCAGCTGGTCTGAGAGCAGGGAGGGCTGGGTGGACACCCGCCCCGAGGCTGTGCCCGTCCCCGCCCCCCAGGTGAGCACCACTGAGCACCCCCAAGCCCTTCCTTTAAGCTCCCCTCATTTCAGGAAACCACTTAGGCTGACCTCACTTCAAAAAAGTGTCTCTGTCTTAAATCAGACTTTCACATTTTCTCCTCTCAACTCATAAACTACTTTTCACTTACATCTTTCCATTTTAATCTTACAGAAATGAGTAAGGCAGTGTTATTATCCATCCCCATATATTTTGGGGGGAAAGAAGCGGGGGTGAGTCAAGTGAGGTACAAACAGTTTAAGGAACTTGTCCAAGTGTCTTGAACCACAGATGCTTTACATCGGCAAAGGTGGAGGTCCCCCTCAGCTTCCTCCCTGGTGCCCTTTCTCTACTTCTATGCGGAGAACCAGGGGCAGACTAAGTTGTCCTCACTTTTGAGGACAGAAGGCCAAATCCTAGAGATATATTCCTAGTCTGCAGGTACTGGAACTGAGATGAAAAGACGTAAAGCCCCTGTTGACCCTTGTCTCACAGTCTCTCTCAGGCCACAGATCCCCGTGAAGACCATGTGACCGTCACAGAAGGTTCCACAAAGGCCAGAGGAGGGACCCAGGCCTGCTGGACCCTGACCTGGTTACTGAGAGACCTGAGATCTGCTCTTGCCACTTCCACTAACAGGCTGCGTGCTGGGTGATTTAAGGCCAACCGCCCAGCTCCTGCAGGTCACATGTCTTCATCTGTAACGTGGGGCCCAAACTAGGGCACTTCAGAGCCCTTTCAGGTCTTACATACTGTCTTCACATTAGGCAGCAAATATTCACTTCAGTTGATGAACATATCAGGAATTACATAATCACACAAAAGAGAGACTTGGCCAGAGATCAGCCATTGCATTTTTGTCTACGCAGTTTGATTTTGCTAGAGAATTAATCTAGCTGTGCATCTTGCCTCTGAATTCAGATACATTTTATTTTTTTTAATTAAAATTTTTTTTATTAATTAATTAATTTATTTTTGTTACAGATGTTTCTCCTTTTTCCCCCACTGACTCCCCCCTCCCTCCCTCCCTACCCTGTCCCCAGCTTTGTCCATATCCATTGTTCATGCATACATGCATATCAGTTCTGTGGTTTATCTCTCCCCCACCACCCCCTCTCCTGGGGATTGTCAGTCTGTACCCCACTTCCACGTCTCTGGGACTACCCCATTCCTCAGACTGTTATGTTCATTATATTCCACAAATAAGTGAGATCATATACTTGTCTTTCTCTCTTTGGCTTGTTTCACTTAAGATGATACTTTCCAGGTCCCTCCATGTTGTCTCAAAGGATAAGAAATCTTTCCTTCTTACAGCTGCATAGTACTCTATTGTGTATATGTGCCACAGCTTTTTTATTCATTCATCAACTGATGGACATTTGGGCTGTTTCCAGATCTTAGCTATTGTAAATAGTGCTGCTACAAACATGGGGGTACATATATTCTTTCTGATTGGTGTTTCAGGCTTCTTAGGGTATATTCCTAGAAGTGGGATCACTGGGTCAAATGGAAGTTCAATTTTTAATTTTCTGAGGTAACGCTATATTCTTTTCCATAGTGGCTGCACCAGTCTGCATTCCCACCAGCAGTGTATTAGAGTCCCCTTTTCTCCACACCCTCGCCAACACTTGTTGTTTGATGATTTGTTGATGGCGGCCATTCTGACAGGTGTGAGGTGATACCTCATTGTTGTTTTAATTTGCATCTCTCTGATGATTAGTGATGTTGAGCATTTCTTCATATGTCTCTTAGCCATTTGTATGTCCTGTTTGGAGAGGTGTCTATTTAGTTCCTCTGCCCATTTTTTAATTGTGTTCTTTGTCATTCTTTTGTTGAGTTGTATGAGCACTCTCTATATATTGGAAATTAACCCCTTCAGATACATTTTAATGAAAACTTCTCTAAATCTGTATTTCAAGGCCCTGAAACACACACACGCACGTGCACACACATACACACACACACACCACACCCCAATCTCTAACCTATTCAAATTCTCCAGGAAACAAGTCTTAGCATCTGGACATTTCAATGTTATCTTGGGTGCACCCAGCCACAACTCTCACAGCTTTATTCCCAGCAAACACAGAAAGCAAATATGGAAGGTCTTCCTAATTCGAATGGAGGCACCGCTTCCCTCAACCACACACCTTGCTTTAGGTTCTATGGTCAAGGTTAGTAGGGACTGAAGCATGAGCCAAAAGGAGAGAGTAAGCAAGAATCGTATATAACTGAGGTGATCAATAGTGTTGGTAGCTCTGTATCCCCTGAACTGAGCTACAAGGCCATGTCTAAAAGGTGGGGAGGGGGCAACTAGAAGAAGTGACTGTTTCTCTGCTGGTGGACAGGGATTGACCAGTTAGTTTGGAAAATGTTTGAATAACTCAGGAATGATTCTGTCATTGTTCCTGGGGACAAAGTCCATTTTACTCTTATGTCGACCAAGACATTGGCTTTTTGTTCATAAAGATATCTAGATCTTTAAGAGTTTGGTTTCAAGTTGTTCATCTTATGACATTTGTCCAACAACTCGCTCCCATTACATCGACTGTAGTATCACCAAAATAATAAATTGATAATGGAAAATTTTTAAAAATAGGTTATTTACAAGTTATCTATTTTTACTACCATTTCCTTATGCAAATGTTTTTATGCAAAAATTTAAGACAGGAAACATTGTTCAGGTATAATGAATTAAGCTCACTTTCTTATTTGAAATGGTGATGGTGGCTTTATATTTTGGAAGAAGAAAAAGTTAATTTTAAAGAATAAACTAAAGCCACCTCTACCTAGGCAGAATACTGAATGAGTAGGGAGAAATTGTAAGTCTACATGCTTTTTTTTTTAAATCCTCACCCAAGGATATTTTTTATTTATTTTCAGACAGAGTGGGAGGAAGGGAGAGAGAGAGAGGAACATCAATGTGACAGAGACACATAGATTGGTTGCCTCCCGCATGACCCTGATCAGGGCTGGGGACTGAACCGAAACTGAGGTACTTGCCCTTGACCAGAATCAAACCCGTGACTCTTGGGTCCACAGGCCGACACTCTAACCACTAAGCAAAACCAGCCAGGGCTACATGGTTTTTTTTTTTAATGTAAAATAAATATTGACATGTTTTAAAACATCTTAAAGATGGGATTTTTCACTTCCTGGTGAGTTTCTGTGCTCTGAAGTGAGTGGACCTCTGCCCTAGCTGTCACTGCCAAGAGTGAATGAGGTCCCTGGGAGAAAAAGCTGGCTTCCTCATTCATGGCAATAGGCTTTCTTTCTTTCTTTCTTTTTTTTAATCCTCACCCGAGGACATTTTTTCATTTTTTTTTTGTTCAGATAGAGCAGGAGGGAGAGAGAGGAAGAGAGAGAGAGAAACATAGACGTGAAAGGGACACATCGAGTGGCTGCCACCCGCACGACCCAACCAGGGCCGGGGACAAACTGCAACCGAGGTATATGCCCTTAGCAGGAACCAAACCCGGGTCTCTCTGGACCGCAGGCCGAAGCTCTAACCGCTGAGCCAAACCGGCCAGGGCAGGTTTTCAAAACTATATATATTAAATGTATCTCTGAGAATAATACTGATAATTCATGGTCTGATAATAATAATATATAATAATAGTGTTAATTTGTGATCTGATTCTGTTTAACAATAATGTAATATTATTGGTACAACTTTGTTTAATCACCTTTAAAATGGGGCAAAATGTTTTACTGACTTTTTAGGGAAAATCATCTCTGTATTCAGGGTTAAATAGAGTTCTGGCAGTGCCATTTCAAGTTATACATTTCCAGGAGCTTGAATTATTTTACTGATAATGGAGCAGACTTTCCCCCAGCTCTGCTTTACCATTTTTTAGGAATATAAATACAAATCATGTATGGTAGTTAAGCAAAAATGGTGGTCAATATAAAATAACATGTAGGTGGAGTAAAATCAGTACACTAGTAAGACAAATAACTGATACATTTATTAATTTCAAAACTATATTACCACATTGTGCAGGGTGGGGCAAAAGTGGGTTTACAGTTATTTGTTAAATGATGCAGTGATAAATAAATAAATAATAATATAATAACAAACTCTGTGTTTTGCGTACTCACAACTGTAAACCTATTTTTGTCCCACCCTTTATATCCCTAATTTCTGATTCCATCTTTTGATGCTCATAACAGAAAATTTGGAAGTAGTGATAACTTTGACAAATCACTCACAATGTTAAATTCTAGACAAAATATTTGAAATACTTCCTTTTTATCCATTCTCTGTATATAATTTTTACCTGATTAAGAGATTATACCATTTGATGTTTTGCTCTTTTCACTTAATTGTATACATGTGCAATTAAAACTCTTTGTAAACATCATTTAATATATTTAATATTAAACATTTCATTTGATATGAGCAAAACAGTACTTTAATAGGAACCTATTAGTATTCCATTACACAAAAGTGCTATTATTTACCTAAACATCACCTATTTCTTTTAAAATTTATTTTATTTTTAAGTTTTTTTTCAATTACATTTGACCTTCAACATTATATAAGTTTAGACATTTATATAACTTACGAATTGATCCCCCTAGAAGCTGGGACCAGGCACAATGGGGCCTGGAGATGGAGTCCCAGTCCCCAATTCAGGAAGGGGAATCCTGGGGCTAAAAAAAGGAAGTGGCTAAAGTCTGG